GACATTCGATATTTGACACTGTTCTGAAATAAATCTTTGTCATATCTAGGCAATAAAAAGCAGTTAGAATGACTCTATCATTAATCCGCTGTACATGACGATATCTGTGACCACCATTGAAGTTGAACAAATGTGGAACGTTAGAGATGGTCGAACGAATTCGTTTTTATGCCACTGAAATATAACGCAGACCCAAGAAATGACGATAAAAGAAAGCTAATACCAACCGAACAAGTGTAGAATGAGTGCGAGCAGTCACTCTCAGGATAATTACCGTCCAGTTTCGAGGAACATCCACCGACGACAATTGATGCGGATGACGGTTGAATATCTTGTGATGGGAAGACGCTGAAAGATTATGACTGCATCGATGGTTGTTATGATGTACATTAATGATGATCGCGTTGTCATTCAAGACAGAAAATACCTCTTTTGCGTGCTTTCGGCCGCAAATGGCACATCTGTTGTTCCAACTGCAACATTTTGATTGCAAGCTGGAATGTTGTTTTGATAATCACAAGCTGATAATTGGATATTGAAGAAGAGGCCAGCAGAACATTTGAATTCGTTAGTCTTGCCATTCGAACACATAAAGTATGATGGGGAACAACCAACTGAATACAGACCATCTGCACGATTCTCGCACTTTGCATCTGAATGTAATGCTCAGCAGCATTATTACGGCAGATGACTGATCTCACGGATACCTTGTTTAAAAGTATCAAGTATTATATATTACAAGTAATATGAGCAAGAACATCATTACATCAACGTTACAATCAATTCAACTCATCCAAATCGTCTTCATAATTCTTCAAAAACCAACTTTCTGAAACTAATTTCTGACCTCCTGTCAGTAACGCATCAGACTGCAACGTATTGCCCGAAGCAGCGTCAGATAGCCCAGCGCATGGAGGAATCCTCTGAGGGTAATCGCAAAGTGAAGTCTTGCGATTGAAGATTAAACCGTTTGAGCAGCTTGCAAGACGTGTGGTGCCCTCCGAACAAACCATATATTGCGGGAGACAATTGCCGAGAGCTTGTGGTCCATTCGGTAGCACTGAGCAACCTTGTTCGCCTAGTTTATTATCTTGCAAAATTGGTGTTCTTGTGGTCCTGAAAATGCTTCAAAATAGCGTCGAATTCGCAACATTCCTCTTCAAAATAAGACAACTATCATGAGAAGATACGTATTATCAGTTTCTATTATTCCAATTCAATTTCTTAATTGCTCCAGATTCACTGATGAAGTTCGATTGCACAAGACAGCTAACCATGTTGTTCGCAAGAACATGAATGGAGGTGCAGTCGTCGTAGTGCTTGCTTGCTGTTGCTGTTGCATGCCATTTGCACCGCATATCCGCACATTCTGTTTATAGTCGCAGTACGATCTCTCAGTATTATAAACCAATCCCACAGGACACACAAACTTCGATATCATTCCATTTGAACAAACGTAATACTCTTCAGAACACTGATCAACATACATACCGTCAGCCTTATTAGAACATTTACTCTCTGCAATAACGTCACCAATGTGATCGCAAAAACTGCAGTTCATAAGTTTCACTGAAATACCATAATCGATCGAAGTATCGATTTATCACCAAGTTGGCGTTATCCATAGTCGGTGAAGTTTTAAGGGTGTCATTTTCTCTAAATCATACTTTGATTATCAGCTCCACTGAGTGGAAGCATCAATACACTTAAGTATTGCAAACGCTATGACAAACGTGGCCTTCAAACTCTACTGTCCAATTCGAGTAACATCATACTGTATATAACTGCACTTCTCATGATTCTATCCAATAGACTATTAGATCACAACGTGTTCTATGCCATCACACGTACCCTCTTCGCCAACTGATAAAATTCCGGCTGTTACGGTCGTGGAAGTGGTTGTAATCGGCTCTCTCGCATTGCATGACGCAACGTTCTCAGGATAATCACATTGACCAGTTAGACCGTTGAACACCAATCCTTTTGAACAAGATGTCAGCGATGTCACACCTGAAGCAACTTGATACTCACTGATCACACTAAATAATAAAATATTCATTTACCTTGCTTTTTAATTTGAGGTATTTATTTAGGCATCCATTATGTATTTAGATAATGCAGTATTCATTTGAGCATAATAATTTACGGTATCGAAAACAATAATTTACAATATATGTTACCATTTGAACATAGAACGAATCTGTGGTGGCATTTGAGCAACTCATGAGCACCATCCGGTAGCATTGCACAACTCGTTCGTGCATGATCCTCAGGAACTTGTACGGTTGGAACGAAATTCTCTTCTTTCGGTTTGTATTGCCTGAAAATGAGTCAATCTTGCATTCTCTGAATACGTATCGCTTGAATTAATATGAATATGAACAACAATTTAGAAGCAATGCCCAACATTAAAACTTTTCAATAAGGGACAAAAATATCGTCCTTTCACAATATTGTTATGATACAAACGATACAACAATGGCGATTCTTTGTGACCATAACAAAACAACACTTAATATGGCAACTTTTGCTTATATATGAACACAAATATTTCAGTGTCGATAACTCCAAAATATCGATGCTATTTATATTGCTGATAGTTTTAGACAATATTTATTGTAAGAGAAGCTGTTGAAAGTCCATAAAACCACCACGTATCGTACAAAAATGAAACACAATCCAGAAACTAACTCTTCGGTTGCAATTTCCGTTGGAGTCGATTGCTTCTGCGCAGCTGCGAAACACTTTTGATGCTCTCGAATGGGGACACATCTCTTCTTTTGCTCATCAAAGACGTGATTGTTAGCGCATCTCACCTCAGTACCTTTACCGTCGAGACATAGTAAACATTTATTAAGACATTCACCCATCGCATGTCGGCCATTTGGACGTGTCTTGCATAATGGATGATCAAAGAAACGCTTTTGAAAAGCCGTAGACAGATCTGCAAATCACATCAATTAGTATCCAAAGTGATTATTTGTTATCATTATTCGATACTTTTTCGGTAAGTTTTTGAAAATTTAATACTTCATTCACGTTTCCGGATAAAGGAGACACAAAAGTCAAAATTCGTTTACGTCTTCGTGCTTCATTCCCTGTGCCGGAAAAAAGGATAACATTAAACTTACGCCTAAATCCATTCTCTTTGACAGGACTTCTAGGACCTTCGTCATATCCTCTTCCATAACCATATCCTCTTCCATAACTGTTCATTACTTCTGGCGTTTGTTGATTGTTTGATGATGCATCTGACGAACTGCTTTTCGACTTTATTGGACTGGAATATTTCATGTACTATTATTATGAACAAAAAACTCGTTCGTCACTATTTCACAACATTTCTACAGCAATTCTCATCTGTGTGCTCGTACCTGGCGCACATCTCTATATTCTCGGGATAATCGCATTCCTTCGTT